AACCATTCAGATAACCAAGCAGGCTAGAAGTTTTCATCATCCATTACTACTACCTCTACAAGAAGATGAAAAAAGAAGACAAGTAACCTTTTTGGCTCGTGAAGTAACAAGAGCTAGTTGGTCTTCAGCAGATGGTGCTTGAGCTTCTAAAGCATGAAGATCAAAGTTGTTCTTTCTGGAAGCAGCCCAAAGGAGTCGTACCTAGGCATCATGAAGCCTACTGCTCAATTTAGTCAAACTTTGTAGCACAAACAGAAAATTCCAAACCACTCCGAACATCTAATGGAAACAAAGCATATAGGAGTAAAGTGCAAATCTGGAACAGGAAATCATGTGCCATATGTAACTTAAGCAACCTCTTCTTCTAGCATCTTGAGCCTTTCATCAGCATGTGGTGAGTCATCCTGCCATTAGTTTAGCACATTATTTCTAAGGCAGCATCTATACAGTGCATGGTTGTCAAGTACATAAATTAAAATCGAAACAACTCGGCTTGGATTATTTAGCAAGTTGATGAGATGCACATAATTCTTTTTCTTTCTTTTTTTGATAAAAAAGGTAAGTCCTGAGCCGGTCTCACAGCAGCATACTTTAAAATTGAATGTTTTTATCCATATTCCCTAGATTACAAAATCCACAAAATTATCAAGATTACTAGCCTCTAATCTCTAAACAATAGCTACTCCATTTCATACACATTAGTTTTATTAGACTGCATAATGCATACGTAAACCATTCATAATTTTATAATTCAAACACCTCTTTATATTAGGGAAACCATAATTAATGTGCACTTTTTTGATATTTTGCTTCCTTAATTTTTCCTGCTTTAACTTCAGTACAAAACTTCAAACCAAATCCACATGAATTAAACAATGTCCTGAGTCATAAAAGTGCAGCAAGCATAAAACTAGATTTAGTGAGGAAAGCTCTTTCAGAAAAGAATCAAACGAACCTTAAGATTGATAGAGCAGACTGCAGGTACTGAATCTTATCAACCATGTCCTGAATCCACTCCTCTCGTTCCTTGAGATAAAGGCTCCATTTAGCTTGTAGCTTCTGAATGCTTTCCTTAAGAGCAGAATCTGCATCCATTCTCAGATGCAGCAAGATCTCAAGATTTACACTAAAGTACAATAAGACGCACAAATTCGACACAAGGAGGACGATTAAACTCCAAAACTCCTCAAATTTCTGCATTATTAGCTTTCTTCTACTCTTGAATAAGTGAATAGTTCGAAAGAATTTGACGAGAAGTTACTAGCGCAAGCGTTTGTGAGCTTCTCCTCCTCCAATTCGCCGAGAAAGCGGTCGAAGTCCGGCTGATTCGGCGACGAGAGAGTAAAGAAAGATGTCAAAATGGCGGGAAAGAGAATCCAATAAACCGTCACTGCCATCACGGCTCTGATCCTTCGACACAAAGTGACGGTCAGAATCCGTCCAGTGTTCATTTCTGGGGAATTTATAGAGCGGCCGTCCAAGAAACCCAGGGACGAGCGAGTATAGAAATTTAAAAATATCAGTATTTTATTTTGAAATTGAGAAAAATTCGAACCGTGTTGCCAATTAGTAAAAGACAAGAGTGATAAAAATAAAAAAAATAAAAAAAATAAAAACTAAAATAACTTTAATAACCCAAGGGCCAAAGAACTAATAATTTAGTAGTAATTTACATTTTTAAAATAGAAGATTTTGATTTTGACTCAAATAATATATGAATAGAATAAGAGATGGGAAAAAATTATTTTTTATTTTGTATCATAAAAAAAAAAACTTTAATAACTCAACACATAAAATAAAATTTATTAAGGCATTTTTTAACAACTCTTCATTTTTACCGCAAAATATCAATTATTGATTATTGAATGATATTGGGTTGGGCTATGTTATGGCTGAATGTAATCTCAACAAGGTACTACCAAGGGCCAATTTAGCACCAAAAAAATGCAAAACCCAACGTTAAGCCCCTCAACTTTCGCCATTTTCTCACATGAACTCTTAAAGAAAAAAAGTGACTTACAAGTCCCTATTTACTTGAATTTGAGCAAATTAACCCTTGTGTTAGTAGTGAAATTGCATGCAGTCACATAAATTAAACAATTTTTTTTTCTTTTTGCTTGTGTGATAATTCATTGACATTTAGATATATATGTAGCAATTTTTTATACTTAAACATATGCATCATATAACTTAAAATTTTTAAAATTAAAAACAAAATAACTGAGTTTCATACCATATAATATTTAAATGTAAAAGAATTGTCATTTTCACATAAGGTGAAAACAACAGTGTTTAACTTACATAACCACACATTATTTTGTAGTTAACATAAGGGTTAATTTGCTCAAATCTAGACATTTTGATGCTTACATGCTACTTTTTTTCTTTAAGCGCTTAGGTGAGAAAATAGGAAAAATTCAGGTGCTTATCACTAGTTTTTATCTTATTTAAAAAAAAAAAAAAGAAAAAAAGGATAAACCGTTGTTTTATACGAAAACATATTACAGTCACTGTCTATCCAGAAAAATCCCGCGCCTGTTTCAAGGCACCATCTGGAAACTTCCACACCATTCTGGTAATTTTCACCACCTTTGGTTTCCAGACAAATCCCCTTCCCTTCCTTCTCTTCAAATATTCACTCACTCCTCCACCGAAACCATGAAACCCATTATTATAATTCTTTTTGAAGCTCTCACAAATTCCAGAAGGTAAACTCTCTAGCTTTACGGCAACATAAGAACAGAAGCTGTGAGAATCAGCTAAGAAGAAGGAGAGATGGGTGTGGATTATTACAAGATTTTGCAGGTTGATAAGAACGCCAAAGACGATGATTTGAAGAAGGCTTATAGGAAGCTTGCCATGAAATGGCATCCTGATAAAAACCCCAATAACAAGAAAGAAGCAGAGGCCAAATTTAAGCAGATCTCTGAGGCCTATGAGGTAAGATCATTTCTCTATGGATAAAAATTTTTGGGATTTGGCTTTGCTTTTTTGTACTTTCTAAATCAAAATCACGTTTTATCATCTGGGTGTCCTTAAGTTTCCAATTTTTAGGAATTTAAGCTCATGTTATTAATGTTTTACATGAAATCAGAACATTGGTAATTGGTACCTATGTCTTATGTGTCTGTACTATAAATAGATGCTGAAATTTCATCAAACGTTTGTGTTGCAGGTTCTGAGTGATCCCCAGAAGAGAGCAATCTATGATCAGTATGGTGAGGAAGGGCTCAAGGGCCAAGTCCCACCACCAGACGCTGGTGGCCCTGGTGGAGCAACCTTCTTCCAAACTGGAGATGGTCCAAATGTTTTCAGATTCAACCCCAGGAATGCTAATGACATTTTTGCTGAGTTCTTTGGGTTTTCTAACCCATTTGGAGGGATGGGAGGTGGCGGCGTTGGCATGGGTGGAATGAAAGGCGGTTCGAGGTCGTTTGGTAGCATGTTTGGAGATGATATATTTACCTCTTTTGGTGAGGGTCGACCCATGAGTCAGGGTCCTCGTAAGGCTCCTCCAATTGAAAATACTTTGCCCTGTAGCCTTGAGGAGCTATACAAGGGTACCACAAAGAAGATGAAGATTTCAAGAGAAATTGCAGATGCTAGTGGGTAAGTGTTTCTTATTTAAGTCCACTATAATGTCTGTAGCTTTACTTTCCTATGTTTTTCTCTGCAGTGTGTAGTTAATTTTGCAATTTAGGAAACTTGCAACATTTCAGACTATCAGTCCTTGCTTAATCAAGAAATTATATTGGTCGGTTCCTTGAATTCTATAGTGGCTAAGTAATCTTTACACTATCAGTTAACAAAGTAAACCTTTGTTCTTGTATGTAACTTCAATAGATCCTTCAATGAGACCTCTAAGACAACGTGTGCTTTTACCATATTCATTGGTTACTGCTATGCCGAGAGTGTCTCTTGGTCATTTTTGATTGATATGTTTGTGGTCTCTTGCTCTTTCTTATTTTAATTAAGCAGTCAAGAACAGACAGCAGCCTGAGCTAATCTAGTTTATTTTAGTGTGTGTTACAATGTGGTTATGACATTTAATTATCTTTTTCCTAGCCGTGGAGACAATGGAATGTGTCCATTTCCCCCATTTTTTCCTTTTTCTTTAGTAGGATTGAATCCTTGCTTGGTTTTTGTCAATTAGGTTATGAGTTTGCCAGCATATGGTGTTCTCACAAATTCCTTTGATCATGCAGGAAGACCTTGCCGATAGAGGAAATTCTAACCATCGACATCAAGCCTGGTTGGAAAAAGGGAACAAAAATCACATTCCCAGAGAAGGGCAATGAGCAACCCAATGTAATCCCTGCAGATCTTGTGTTCATAATTGATGAAAAACCTCATCCTATATTTACACGAGAGGGTAATGACCTTGTTGTCAGCCAAAAGATATCACTGGCTGAAGCACTTACAGGCTACACTGTCCATCTCACAACACTGGATGGAAGAAGCCTGACCATCCCCATCAACGGTGTGATTCATCCAAGCTATGAAGAGGTTGTTCCAAGGGAAGGTATGCCAATGCCAAAAGATATGTCGAAGAGAGGTAACCTGAGAATTAAGTTCAATATCAAGTTCCCAACAAGGTTAACCGCAGAGCAGAAGGCAGGGATTAAGAAACTACTGTGGGCGTAGGCAGGCCATGCCTTTTTGTTGCACCAGGAGTGGAGACTCTTCACCCTTGTGAATAGTGGGTGCAATTTGGTTCTATATTGGAGAAGGCTGTGTTATTTGTATTAGTTTGGGTTGTAAGAATTAAGTAATACATTTGGTATCCAGATGAATAATAAACTCAATTAAGAGCTAGCCAATCTAGTGATTTTCAAAGAAAATGTAGCTAAAACAGTTTTGTTAATGAGAAATTTTGGTACATTTTGGAACTCTAGGGTCAGGCTAAACTGGATTAATGAAAGTAGTGGCCTTTTGAGTAACAGGAAGAAGCAAGAAATACTTCATTTCAGCTAAATCTCAAGAAAAACATAGACTACAGATCCTCTATTTAAAATAAATATCTGTTGTATAATGAAACATGGTTAAAAAAAAATGATGCCTGATAAAGAGATGCCCTCATTCTCGGCCACTTATGATAAAAATGTATTGTTACATTGTACATCTCTACTAATTCACTTTCTAATTCCACTTAAGGCTCAAAAAATTGAAATTTATCTGATTTTCACATTTGAGTGCTTGGCCAGTTGGCCTACCTCTCCCTTCCTTCGGACTTCGCAACAGGGAAAATTGCCTCCTTCCCTGCAAATGAGCGACTTGTCAATTGTAAAGCTGCAACTTTAAAATACAGTGCAGCTCATGCAAAGGTATTCTCTGGAACATGTCAATATCAATCACTAAAATCTTCTGAAACTTCAGATTCAGAGCCTTCATAATTTCCAATTTTATTGGCTACTCCATCTGATCCCTCACTCATATAGAGATCTGCATCTGAAATCTCATCTCCCAGTTGTTCAATGCCATTATCTCCAGAAGCATCATCTTCATCACTGAGTTCCATAGGATCTCCATTCCACTGAGTAGAGGCACCACCAAAACCTACGTCCCAGTTTCCTTGCTCGTAACCTCCTTCATCATTGCCATTGTCATCAGATTCTGCTTCTGTACTGTTACTATCAACAGCACCTGCCATGTGCATCATCCTAACATTCTCATCACCCCATTCTTCATTCAAGTTTGTTGGGGACCCTATATGGGTCCTAGGTTCAACTATGTCAGCCATTTGGCTCACCAGCGTACTGTCAACAGTTTTCCTTTCTGTTCTCTTTCTAACTGTCCGGCGTCCTCGTCCAGAACCCTGACCATTTGTTCTTTGTCCCTGCTGTCTCAGCCTGAGACTTAAATTATTGCTCTCCTGGGCACTTTGCCTGACAGTAGTATATTTAGGAACAGGAACTCTTCTCCGCAACTTTCTAGCAGATCCTTGTCCACGAACTCCTCTTCCACGCTTATGGCTGTTCCGCTTGCTGCTCAGGCTATTGAAGTTCTCTTCTTTCATAGGAACATCTTGGTCCAGTTCCTTCAGTTCAAGCTCTTTACTCCTGATGGTAAGAGAGGATCTTGAAGGAAGCTTCTGCATATTTAAAAAATGGTCAGCTTACACGTTTTTCACATAAAATGATGGAAAAATAAATAAATAAACTGCTATGACCTATTTTATATGCTACCAATGAATGAGCTAGCAACAAGTGGAAATGACTCCTTTGCAAGAGGCCTACACCATTAAGATTACATATGCCTCAAACTATATAGCTTTCTTGACAATAATCAAAACAAGACCTAAAATGAAGTGGCAATTTCTCTTTTACACCTTACTTCCAGCACCAAATATTGAGGAAGGGAAAAGGTAGAGAAAAGGAGAGAACAACTCACAATATAAGTCCTAGTTTCCTTGTTCTGATTAGGTTCAACTTTTTCCTGCTTTACATACATGATGGATGCATCAAGATCCAAAAGCCTCAAAGCTACTGCTGCAGTGGTTTGAGGTATCCAAGGAAGTACAGGAACTGATTGAGGATTGGCATAACCGCTCCCTGAAAGAGTATTCAGACTCAACAATTCTTCCGTTGTCTCAAAGTTAGAAGACAAATAGTCTCGCTTAACAGCATGCTCGAACTGTGTCAATGTCTGCAATACCAACATGAGATTGAACAGTAAGTAAAATACATTTTATATGACAATTATTTATTTGACAGCCTAAAAAAGCAACAATTCAGAATTGCAGCTACCAGCATTTTAGGTTCAAGCTGAATGGTTACAAGCATCAAATTTTGGCACAATAATAATAATAAACATGAAAATATATAGTAGACCATAAATTCAGAGAGTGAACAGGTGAAGAAGGCCAACTAACAAATGCAATGGCATTGGCAGCTACAATTGGATATATTGCAAAAGAAATGAGAACCTGTAGGAGTTCTTCAGCAGATGAAGACACATTCAGCCTTATTGCCCAAGTCTTTCGATGGTCTTCAGTCCAAAATGATTCAAGGGCTTCTGCAGGAATAGATGCCTGCAAAAGAGAAAATGTAGCTGTAGTCAAGGCATACAACAATGATATTGGAAGTTCACCACTTTTACTTATTGCTTATTGCATCTCACCTCAATTAGAGCACACAAGGCTTTGAGCAGTCTGATTCCTAAGGGAAGAGAAGAATTAAAAATTTGTGAGTCCTTTGTGTCTAACTTCCTGCTCTCTTTGCACTGAATCTCATGTTCCAAAAAATTAAAATTCTTATCAACTGTACTAAATGTCTGGTGGCAATACAGGCAGTGGATTTCTTCACAGAGATAGGTGTCAAGACACGTATCACAATTAGCTAACAGCTGTATGCAATTCCTCTTCTCATGTTTCATGGCAGACAATGTTGATGACTTATTGCATTCTTTCCACATCCAACTCTGAAAATCTTGATACCGTTTCAAAGCTGACTTCCTCTCTGTTCCATTCCTCCCAAGCTCAATTCTGAAAGAAGGTAACATCTCTGATGCTTCAGAATTCAAACCACAAACTGCACTACTGGGACTATCAAAATTAGCTGGACAGTCGGCACTAGAATCCAATTCAGATGAATCATTATCAGCAGTAGTTCTACTTTTATACAAAGTGCTGACACATTGCGAGTTCTTTTGAACATTTTCCTTGAAGAAGTTCTCAATCTTTTGCAACATGATACGCAAATGGGATTCCCTGATCCCACGTGCATCCAGAGATGTCAAAAGGACATCGAAGGCCTACAAAGACGTTGAATTGAATAAATCAATAAACAAAATCCAAATCTAAATTGCAATTTAATAGTCTATTAATTCAAGGGTTCTCATTACAAGTTATGTGGACATACCTCTTCAGTGTCAATCAACCTCCAAGTCCCATCTTGTAATTCAACAAAGATCCGACCAGAACAAGGATCATTTTTGGAAAGAGACGTAACAAATTGCCAGTATCTGTTACGTCGACGATCTTGGCCAAGTGGCAAGGACCTGTACACATACATCTCTTCAGCTCTGTGGGCAATGTAAGATTTCAATTGTGACCGTGACCTTTTTGAGTGCTCTTGACTTAATGGAGTCCTTTCAGAATTATAATTGTTCTGGTCATTAGGAAAAGTCTGTGAACAAACCAACCGTTTTTGATCTTCAGGAATGCTAGGAGATGCCTCATTGTTTTTATAATCAGCAAGATGCAATGGGCTTTGGTTACCCTCAATAGCAGAATTTTGTGCCTCATTTCTGCTTCCCAAAAGAGGCGGAAAATCTAGTTTGGTAACATTCTCTTCCTTCAGGCGCCCTTTATCGAGTTGAGCCTCGGCCAACATTTGCTTTTTAAGAGCATTTGCTGCTTCTAAACGATCCTGTAAAGCCCAGAATATCAAATTATGAAGAGAAAAAAAAGCTAGCATTCAAAAAGGAAATAAAAAATAGAATATAAAGGTTTACCTCAAGCACAGCACGTATTGAGTTCCCTTCATTTGCAATACCAATCAAAGCAACAAGGGCACTAAGACGCTCCTCAACACTGAGATGTGAATACTCACCCTCGGAAAGACCTTGAATCCATGACTCACCTGACTTGCTTTCATCAATTTCAACATTTTGTTGATCAAGTCTTCCTGCAACAGCATCTTCACCAGCAACATATTGCCTGGTGCCACATGAACCATTTGAATCCTTGGCACTAGCTGGAGGAAATGATGAACAATCTTTGTCAATCTCAATTTGCAAATTTGGTGTAGTGCCAGTTGAGATGTGATCACTTCCACTTCCTAAGGAAGCATTCACTTTGTCCTTATGATAGTCCATGTTCTTGATTGCATTTGAAGGAGTAGCTATATCATCAACTTCAGGATCCTCATCCACATCACATTCTGAGTCCTCATCTCTTTCCACTTCATCTCTTTCCACCTCATCTCTTTCAACTTCATCAGTATCTTCCCTGCCTAAAAATCCATTTTCAAAGATCCGAATTTTTTTCCTTGCTTCTGTAAGTATGGCCTCAGCATCAGCAGGATCTTTTCTATAAGCAGGGCGTACACAATATGTTGATGGAGCTATTCTTTCAAAAAGTTTAGTATCCCTTGTCAAAGCAACTGAAATAGAAGCCTCTGGTGTCCTGCTAGTTGTGAGGTCCCGAAGTCCAGATTTCTAACAGCAAATGGATACAGGAAAACCATGTCAAACCACTGAACCAGTAATGAGATCACTTTTTAACCTAATTTAACAACCATCCATACCAACCTGAATCTTATCAGCAAGTTCTAAAACTGTTAGTCCTTTGCTTCCCTCAAGTGATAGGACATGAAAAGCTGCAAATTTGACAGTTCCAGGAGTCAACCTGTGCCTGGATCTTTTTGGAGCTAGCAAACCTTTCTCTCGCATCAATGCAAATGCATTTTCTGCTGCCGAACCATTGCGTAGGGTAGAAATTATGTCTTTACAACCCTGGCCCTGCAGTTCAAGAAAATATAAGAGCATTGCATTAATAAATTTCAGCTACTCTTTTTATACTTTTCTGAGCCAGCAAAATGAATCATTTTTCTAAAATAGGTGGTGCCATTGTTTTTATACAAGATACTGCACCAACATAGAAGTCAATTCTAAATATCACAAAGGAAGCAGGAGATAAATGCCAGAAACTAACCTCATTGTTTTCACCCAAATATGTCAATTTGACACTTCTTTTCCTCAACTTTGGTCCAAATCCTGCAGACATAGCTAACTGCCGAAATATTTCAGGCCAAGTTAGTGGATTCAAGTGCCGTTGCCAATTGCGTATGTCAAAGCCCCAAGCATACGCCTGATAGAAAAATTAAACAATGGGAGAAATGCGAAAATTTAAGCACACTGAAAAGTAAAATTTAATAACAAACACATTGAGCCACCAGAAGTTACCCCTTCCACAATCTGAGGATGTCCTCCTTCAGGATTAGCAACACAGTATTGGTTCATCCCTGATACAGTTGAAGGTGTTCTTGCAACATCTTCAATGTCTTTTATTATTGATTTCAAAAGAGCAACATGTATCTCACCCAATAACCTTGAATCCTGGTATCAAAATGGCACAAAGATAATGAAAGACGAAACATGATGTGGCAATTGACGATGAGAAAGATCCAACTAGAGACTCACATAATCATGAAAAGCTTGGACAAATTCATCAAGTGTAAAAGGCCACAGTCCAAGAACATCAGCAAAAGTAATAAAAAATCTCCAGACCTGAAAAGAGAACCATGCTATTCTACATTAGAAATTGACTGAATCAATGATGTTAGCCCAACTCATCTTCCTAATATCATCAAGTCATACCATGAGAAGATTCCCAACATTCTCCTCTGAATCACTCCATGGTTGGATGGAAAATGGCCTCTTCAATTGCACTGACTTGGGTGGGAATGAGCTCAAAGAATCTAGGGCAAAAAAATTACTTGATTCAGTTCAGGGATATCAAAGAGTAAACAGAAGACAAAATAAGTAGATATATAAAACAATGGACAACAATGTAATACCATCTGAGGAACAAGTAACCCAATTATTCTAAAGTTAATAGACATTTACGCAAGGAAGAGAAAAAATAAATTTAAAGCCAAGCAGCACACTGACTTAATTGGAAGCAATAGAGAGGTGCAATATCATATTTAAACTTTGAGGTGAACCACATCTAGATGAACTTGATGCTACTTTAAACCCTTTAAGATGCAGTACCATCCCCTTGCTAATGTTTACATAACTTCACATAACAACAATTCAGTTTTAAGAAAGAAGCAAATAAACCCACAAATCTTTGATATATTTAAGGAATATAATTAGTACAACTAATGGGGTATCTTTAGTTGGCAAGAGGGACTCCCATTTTCAAAAAAGGTATATGTCAGAATTTTAGGGCTCCTCCACATCCACCCAATTTTGAGTTAAAGTTATGCAGTTGGGCAAAGAGAATTACCTCTGAATGAATCAAGATTTTCCACAGTATCATGGTCAAGCTGTATTATTGAAGGCAACCCCTTGCTTGCAGCAGCCAATTCCATGAGTTCCAGTTGCTCATCTTCAATAAGATCCATTGATTCTTTAGCAATTTTACGTGCAGTTGCCTTCTCCATTGCAATTCTTCGTTTTTCTGCTTCTTTCTCTCTTCGAAGCTCCTCTTTTTGTCTCATTTTCTCAGCCTTTATATAAAAACCAAAAGTACAAACCCTATCAATATCTTAAATTTCGAAAAATTAGTTGCAGAATAACTTGCATCAAAATATTTTCAAACTTACTTTTAAAAATTCTTTCTGCAAAAACTTTTCCCTTCTTTCAATTTCCCGTTTTTGCTCTCTTTGAGATCTCTCTTCTTCTCGTTGTTTTTCACGCAGCATCCTCTCTTCTTCCTTCCGCCGTTCACGCTCATGTCTTTCCATTTCTTTCCTCATTCGTTCTTCACTCTGAAAATACAAGTTCAGAATGAGTATTAAAAAGGGTTTTTTACCCCAACAGAATTAACTTTGTACGTAACAATAAATAGAAAAACCTTTCTCCTCCGGTATTCAAGTTTCTCAAGCTCTTTACGAATACGGTTCTCCTGTGCTTCGACTCCCCTTGCAATTCGACCTTCATCACTCTATAGCAATAAAACTAATATAGAATTAAGAAATCCCTCACAGAAATCTGATAATAAATGAAAAACCTTTTAACACAGCATGATACCTTGCTTCTCTTCTCCATCCTTAGATCAGCATCAGTACCTGAGGGCTGTCCATTGGAAAATATATGTGAATCTTCTGATTCTAAAACTGGGAGCCCAATTGCCTGAGCATTTACTCTATTGTTTGTAAAGGACTCCCTTTCTGGAAAAGAGTCATCAGCAACTTGGGAAGATGAAGAAACAAGTCCTGCCTTGTCTTGTTGAGATAAACCATGCACTCGTGATCCATGCCCTCGGCTACCATGACCCCTGGACAATAGTTCATCTCCATGTACGGATGATGCAGCTCTAACCCTTGGACCATCAACTGGAATATCATGGAAATGAGATTGGGCACCTTGTCCATACGTATCAGATCTAAGAACAGGTTGATCTTGGAGGATCTGATACTCAAGGAAAGCCCTTGCAGATGCCTGAGATTAATTTCATACAACACAATATAGTTAACCCAAATGAAACATGTAAGATACAAAATTTCAAAACAATGAACCAACAATAACAAATATGCATTTGCAATAAGAATACCAAATAAGCTGTACACAACTAACACAGAGATGCACTTAAATCAAGAATCCCCTTTTTCCCTCGAGAGAACAGGAAGCATAGCACAAACAATAGATTTGCCCGTAGTAACATTTAACAGATCTCCATGCTTCTCAGTTCCAGGCATATTAAAAATAGTATCATGATTCTTATCCACTCACAACTACATTACAGGATCATGCTTATCCACCACTAAGAATGCTAACTATGGTTGCATCCAACAAAAATCTAAATGGAACTTCAAAAACTAACTTTGGTTGATCTGGCATCGTATCGGTCATATATTTTGCTCTCATAAGGATGTCCAGCTCTCTTCTGTGGTTCCGGCGTTGCTGCTTCACATTCAACATGAAGTTAGCAGAAAGTAAACAGAGGCACATACACTTTTCAGCAAAAGTAAAACAATCACATTCACAAAATTAGGACACGCTGATATAAACAACTAAATTTCTCGTGCAACCAAACAATATCTTGTTCAACCATAAAATTCAGCATCAGAACATATGTATTATACCTATGGGTGCCCCAAAAGCATCAGGGGGCAGTGGATCAAACTCCATGCCAAGAATGGGCCCGTCCTCCCTCAATGGCTCCCCCAACTGTGCCTCCACACAGGCAATTGCACTCAACTCCATTACTGACTGCTGAGGCTCGTAGTGCCTCCTTCCTACCAGAACATCATCAATCATGGCCTGTGAAGATGCCCCCAACTTCCTCGACTCCATATACGGGCTAGACCCGGAACCCGACCCGGACCCGTAATCTGGCTCTGGGCCACCCCGCAAATTATCCACCGGTGACTCTGGCGGCAAGACAGCACCTTTTCGCGGTCTTTTTGCAGGAGTCTCCTTCTTTTCTTTTAGTCTCCTGTGGCAAAACCACATCTGCAATTGCCGATCCGATAACCCCAACCTCTCCGACAACTCCGCCCTCGTCGCCTCCGACGGATACGTCTCCACTAATCAAAAACCAAACCCATCAAAAAAATCAGCAAACTTTACCCAAACAAATTACAGATCCAGATAAACACAAAGATCAAAACTTTATGCATACCGGCATAGGCTTTCTCGAGGGCTTCCAGTTGAAACGGAGTTTTCATCTGGCGCTTAGGCTTGACGCTTCCTTCGCCGGAATTGTTCATACTCTTCCCGGTATTCTGATTATTATTATTATTATTATTATTATTATTATTATTCCCCTCGCTCTGATTATTCTCTCCCTCCGACCCAGGTTCCTCCATTGACGAAGGAAGATCAAGAAATCCCAAAAGCCTGAAACTTGAGAAGAATCTAGAGTTCCGAACACGAAATCTCCCAACTTTTCAAACTTTTTTTTTCTCTCTCTAAAACGTATTATCTTCGTAGTCAAGAAAGGGAAAAGGGGCGAGGAATTACCTACGAACAATGGATTAATTATAATAATAATAATGAAAATTAATAATGAGAAGGAAAAAAGAAATAAAGAGAAAAAGGAGAAATTTGGAACAGAACAACGATAGTAGTGTTTCCGCAGTCTAATTACGAATTCCATAATTTTTATTTGAATTTAATTTCTTTTTTTTTTTTTGGGTTTTTTGATTTGATGCAGGAGATCGGGTAAGATTTTCCCTTTTGGTTGTTCTTTGTTTTTTTTTTTTTTTTTTTTTTAATCTGACTTACTAGACGCTAGAAATGAAAGGAATATGATGGTTGGTTTTGATGGGGTGGTTTGGGGATGTGTTTGTGGTTTGGGATCTTTGGTTGGAGGATGGAGCTTAGGATTTCGGTTTGTGGAGTTTGTGGGGTCCTTTGTTTGGGCCGGATAAGCTGTTTTGTTTTATTTGATTCATACAATTGGGCTAAATTGGATCCATTTGATTTGACCTTCCGTAGTAGGCCCTCGAATAGGCAGTTGTCCAATTGTTTTTTTTTTTTTTTCCTTTTTTTTTGTTCGATATTTCATTGGAGTAATTTTTCTACTCAAGAAGTATCCAATGGCCACCCTCTTCCATCTAATCCCAACTTAAGATTAGATTTATTGATAATAAATAAGTTATGATGTTACATATTAACTTTTAGGTTAGCATTTAAAGAAAATTTATGTTTCTTAAATATAAAAGTTTTACCTTTGAAATCTTTTATAGAAAAATCATGCACATGGACTTATTTGAATACATGTGCTTATTCACGAGGGTCATTTTCCGATAAAATTTATGAATTGAAGACCAATATGAGGTGTGACACATTTGATAAATCACTATCAAATATTGATTAATAGAATTTTGTAATAATAGCACAATATGAAAAGTCAAAATGTTACACAATAATTTCAAACATATTCTTTAATTAATTGTGTAAAAAGTTATATAATTTTCTTTACCATGCTTTAATTAAATCGTGTAGAAATTTGTAAGTTGAGCTTTGAATTTCACGAATTTCATGACAATAACATCAAAAGTAATGCCTAATGGTCATTGGTGTAAGGTTGAAAATTAATCAATTTTTTTAGCTGAGGATGATATCCATCCAAGAGCAATGTATAGGTTCAACCGTTCAAGATACCTTCTTGAAGGCGTTAAGGCTTTGAATTTTCAGCAATTCAGTATAGAGAGTAGAAGCCAATGGCAATATTTCTCTCTTCTCTTTTTTTTTTTTAAAATCAAATTATGGGCCACTCCCTTTATTCTGTTTGGTTCGTTTTGAACCAAACCTCATATGTTTTATATTATTAGATATTTTAGTATCTTACACGAAAAGTAATTTATTTTTTTTAATATTTTTTTTTTGAACATATTTTACAAAAGGTGGGTTTCGAACCCAACCCGAAGAGGGAGGGAATGCACCGGTGATTAATACCACTAGACCTCAAGGATCAGGTGCTATTATTCTTAATATTAAAAATATTGTAAACTTAAAGTACCATTTCATTCTTTTAAAATTTTCTCAAATTTCACTTAAAATTCTCTGGAGTGATTCTTTATCTTTTTTTTTGTTTTTTTCATTGCAACATAACTCTTTTCTGTCAATTTTTTCAATATAATAAAAAATAATTTTTTATTTTTTAAATTTCTCCACATTCATTTTCATATTTCAAACTTAAAAGATGTCCAATATAAAATTTTAATTTCTTAAATACTGAAACGTCCCTCAGCAAATGCCAATGACAGTCAATTAGTTCCCAAGAATTAAAACAAATAGGGCAAGATACTCTCCAAGTTATAAAATAAATATCCATAAAAAAAATTATAAAAAGAGTATTTCTCTCGAAATTTAACAATCAAGGATACAGCAAGAGAAGTAGCAATGGCATATATACCTGTTATTGCCCACATTCATAAACTGCAACTTGCATTCCGAAAACAAATCTAGCCGACCAAGATCAGGTGGGTGACGTAGGAGACGATACGAAGCATGAAATAAGACAATAGATGACGAGTAGTACAAGAGCTCGTGGGTGTCGGACCCCGACACCATTGCCATATGACAGCAGCAAACAAGAAAAAATCATGCTTTATGTAACATCCCACAGGTTTGGTGGGCATGAAAATCAGAAAAACTATCAAGTACAAGAAACAAGTAGCCTCCAAACATTGATTGAGAAAAGATTAGCACCACTTTATATAGTGAAACCAGGACTACACATAATCGCCAATCTGCAGTACTCATAACACCAATCCTTCCAAGAAACCTTGAACGCAAAATTGGAAGGCCAAACCTCAAAAGAACCCCCAAAAACCATGAAAACTAACCTATGTTGTGAACACACCCCTCACGGCTTAGATTCAGATATCATATGAATATAGGACACGTATATTTCAACACAAAACTTACATTGAATTTGAAATTAATTGACGATAGTAGTTGCCCCCTTACATTTAATCTACTTCTTTGTTATATTTTTGATGTGAGATTCTCACCCAAAGTGACTATATCATACAAAATTATTTGGAAGGGAACAAATCTTGATTTTGATTTTGGAACTAATTTGAACTGTTATGGAATTGCTTTCTGTTTAACTCTGTGCTTGTGATCATATAAAGCTTGAAGTGAGAAACAGAATAAGTGATGCATTATTCAAAGTCTGACACAAGCTAATTGCAAATCAGCAATTGTCTGTTTCTTTGAATTTGGAAAATTGATCAAAAAAATAGATTAACAACAACAATAGCAGGGTATTCAACATTCACTTTTATCTTTAGGAGGTACTGTAAAGACATCAAACTTTACACCCGCAATCTCCTAGTGGCTCCCATACTTTTCATCTTATGCTGCTTTCATTTGCTGCAACAAGAAATCCATTTCACGTTAAAACCATCATTTTATCTCTTCATCTATGTATATTTAAAGTGATTAACTAAATTGCGGTTTCAATGTAGTTACTCGTTTATTTTCTTCCATCTTGGCCTTAATGAAAGAGTAGATTGCTACACCAGCAATTGCTATGCATGTTCCAATACCAGTCTGTGTTGAAATCTTGTTTCCTGCAAGAAGTAGATTTTCAGACATTAAATTCACATTTCAAGTCTAGGAAGATAAATACTGATATGAGAAAGCAAAATGACAGCTGCATAAAGGACTAGGTATGAACTGACCAAAGATGATGATTGAAAAGCCAATCACAAACACACGTTTCAGCACATTGCCAACTGCATGAGTAAGTGGTGCTACTCGCTCCAATGTATTTGTAGCCAGCTGAATGCCAAAATCAAAAAGTGTTTTATCACCTCTAAATTAAACAGAGGAAGCATTAAGGAAACAGTAGCAATGGAACTAGACATGATCAATTAGATAATACTGACACCAATCACTAAAGACAAATTATTGTGAAGCAGGAAATTATCATAGTTGACATTTAATACCTGATTGTAAAGATGGTAAAACATTCCCACCCAAAAGAGATCAGAGATAAACTTGGTCATGCCAACTTTAGCAACTGCATCACTGAATCCATGCTTCATCAATTGAGGACCCTCAATCTGTAAAAACAGATTCATGGCAGAAAAATGGATGCTTAGATGACTGAACATTTAAGATTTCTAATTAAGTATCAAGAGTACAGATATTAATTTCACCTCAGAATCAAACATTCTTCACTTACAATGATAGCAGGAGGAATGCAGACAAAAAGAGCAATGATGGAGATATAAGCATAGACATTGGTGCTGTCCATATCGGTCTGTGTATGAAGATGAAAATTAATGGAAGAAAATTAGATATTTTGTTGGGGAAAAAGATCAGGAATAAAATCTTAAGTCCTATTACTTCATAATGATGGAAAAGGAGGAACTCTATTTAATTCATTCAAGAAACTAGAAGAAAGTCACCATGGCTTTCTTGGAATATATGCTCCTGTAAGTGAAAGAGATGTTGGAAATCATAGCACTAATGAAGCCCGTCCAATTGAATGACAGCTCAGTCAGTGATGCCATGGACACACCTGCATTCAGCTTGCAGTTAAATGACAAGGAAAAAATCCAGATGCAAAATGCCAATATCAGACTTCAATAAAGACATTCCTAACTGCAATGTCGACAGATTAAGTTCATGTTTTGTTTATCCACACATATGATTCAAATGCAAACTGGACAAAAAATAAAAAAAAAGAAGAAGAAGGAAAAAATGAAATTTACCAATCACGACAGGAGCAAGGGAAAGCCATAAAGTGAAGGGGATAGATTGTCCAAGGATGAACTGGGATGCAGCAGCATTGAAGAAAGGCTCAAGAGCTGAAAAGCAAACAAGTTATGAACCAGTTCAATGATAAAGGCATTGAACAAAATATTACTGGCCATTAAAAAGGATTATACTATTTTTCCATTAATTAGTAGAACATCGAGAATCATCATGTCACCTTTAATAGTGTGGGTGAACGAGACAGCAACTGCTGCAAATGAGACATTGCTAGTCACATGGCCTAATGCATGGCATACAGCAACAGGGATTAACAGCTTCAGGAGTTTCGAGTCAATGGGCTACTCATGGAAACAAAAAAAAATTACCTGGCATTATCAGTACAAAACATTGGGTTTTTAAAAGAAAACTAAATAAACAACACAATATACAGGCTCGAGGTGTCTGCATACTCTCTGATTATCATGTTCTGGCATCAATTAGCTAACAAACTCCAATGTATTTTTTTACATTTTTAAAGTAGGACAGAAACCCAAGATGCCAATGTATATACATTTCTCCCTTCAAACTTCAAGGTAATGCATTAAATCTTCCATTATAAATATTACAAATATCAACTCTAAAAGCATTGGACCGGCTTTCTCACGCAACAATAAGATTCGGTAAGAAAAAAATATTCCAATGCCAAAAACCAAATAAAATAATAATTAGACAAACTAACAGCTTAACTTGAACATCTAGAATCAAGATGTTGGGGTCGGATGAAGTTCACTTACAGCTCGCTTAGGGAGACCTACAGCCCAGCTCACCAAACAGTAAACCACTCCAACAAACAAGTGAATAACGGACACAAAACTGCACCAAATACCAGCAAGTACAAGCTAACTTTCATCAACACATTCCTACAATATACCCAAAAAAATCACCCCCAAAAAAAAAAATTCATACATAATTAACGAAATTGTTATTACTTACTAAGGATAGGGGAAATAATTGTAAATCTTCTTGTTAATGATGTTGAATATCACGTTCAGGAAGTACCTAATCAAAACAGCACGAAAAGGACAATAGAGTAATTTTATATAAGCCTTTGACCTCTGGGTGGACGGTTGGCCATTGGACGGTTAAAATCGTTCCTTTTTTTTTTTAATTGACAAAGAAAAAAAAAAAAAAAAAAAAAGAGATGGCGCAAGTTAGAGAAGGGGGCGTACCACATGAAGAAGAAAAAGCCAGTGACAAGGGCCGGATACTTGTTAAAGAATCCAACCGGAGCGATTTTTTCCCTGCAATGATGCGGAGTTAGTGAGTCAGAGAGGGGAGGGGAGCGAGTTGATGGAGTAGGAACAGAAGAAACGGACCTCACCCGGCGGAATCATTCCCCTCGGCAGGAGAGGAGGCAGCGGCGAGGCTTGGACGAAGAATCTCGCGTTTTCCGATTGATAGACTGGCTACCACAGGTGAACTATCGAGAAGCAGAGCCGGCCTCAGCTGCCTGCCCCAAATGACATTGCCTCCCTCTCCGACGGTTCCGATTGACCTCATGGATATGAACGAAACATTTCCGGCATCTTGCGGCGGTTTACGGAGAGGAGGCAGGCCGGAGATAGCGGCGGAGCGTGACAGCACCCGTGACTCCATTGATACTCGCGACGGAGGAGGTTTCCGGGAGTGCGAAACGTGTGTTTTGTTTGTAGCTGGAGTGAGGTTTTAATGGAAGGAGTGTAATAACAAAAAAAAAAAAAAAACGAAGGAATTCTGTTTTTGGTGGCTCTCGATTGCCAAATAATTAAGCCGTTTGGATCCGGCACAACGCGCGCACGGTGATGTGTGAAATTAACGGTGTAGATTGAGGGCGGTTTTTTTTTTTTTTAACATAAGAGAATTTTTGGAGAAAAAGGAAAATTTTTTTAAAGTAAATTTTTTTATTAATCTTTTAGTATCTGATAATTATATTGAATCATGTTAGATTTCGTTAAGAAGAAGTTCTCCGAATTACTATTTTTTCATTTATAAGATGTTAATTTTGAGATATTTTGAAGGGAAAACGAACTATTTTCACTTAGATAAAAAAATGATTGGTATTTTTTAAAAATAATTAGTTAAAGTAAAACTCTCAATTACTTGAGCTAAATACTTACATTTGATGATGAATCATTAGATTTATTGGACTGCTTTAGATTAAGGGCGGGTTTGGTTGAGGAAAGTTTCCTAACTATAACTTTATTTGTATTATTTAGTATTTATTTTCACATTAATAAGAAGAAAGTGATATTTATAATTTTTATTTTTTACGTAATGTTTTAATTTGTGTCTTTAAATAAAAATTAAATATATATTTATTATATTTTGCTATTAATTAATATACAAAATTAAAATTAATATAATTTTAATAATAGTCTAATTAAGCTTATTTAAGGAGTAATGATAGAGAGGTGAAAAATTTAGAATCAATGGTGTCACATAAACTATATCATTAAATTAATTAATACATACAATATTACAAGTTTTAAAAAAATAAAAATATTAATAATTAAATGATATAACATTTATTTTTTATTATTTTAAATAATATAATTTATGTCACGTTATTAATATTAAATTTTGATTTTAAATTTTAATCTCATTTATCATTATTTTTATTTAAATGATAACAACCGTCAAATTAATATTAATTTTCGTATTTTTTTATTGTATAAATTTATATAAGAAAGACACAATAAATACACTTTTAATTTTTATTAAAAAAA